AAAATGTGCATAAAAGTATTTGATGGAACCTGTGGTTGAATAGACTGTCGTGTGTCAGATGTAGGTGTAGTTCCTGGAGTTTGCTGAGGTAATACACTTGAAGCTGAAAAATTATTTCTACATATATAAATCTTTTGATTTTTTTGTAAAGTTGTTTTTGAAGCTTACAGTGAATGAAGTGATGTTAGAAAATACAAGACATTATATGTTAAGTTGCATTTTCTTTTAACTAACCATTAGCTGGACGAAATGTTGTTTGCAAAACCATATGACTCGCAGATTCTGCCTGTTAAAACATAATTCTGGTAATTTGAATTTTTAGATTAATTCAGCTTTATTACCATTATAATTTTTAGTAATATTTTAGTCGTTCACACTTGAACGTTCTTTTTTGATACTGTGAAGACAGTTTTAATTTGTTTGAAGTATTAATACTTTCCAGAAAACATTTTAAACCTTTAGGTTTGTGTAGAATTGTAGTTACTGCTAACTGTCGTCAAATCAATAGGTTTAGACTTTCAAAAAAAAAAGTTATGCTTAAGTCAAACAAAACACATACTCTGTTAATTTGGCTTTCAATTTCTTTCTTTAGCTCCTCTGGTAACTTGTGCTTTTCGCCTTGAAATACTAAAATGAAAAATATTTTTTCAATACAGCAGCAATTAGCTTTCCTTCCCCCCATTTTTTTTCCTTCTCCTCGTCAACTCCCACCTTTCAAAAAAAAAAAAAACTTTTTTAGCTTTGTTATTAATGGCTTTTCAGTTTTTTTTTTTAGTTGCTTCGTGAACAATTAGCGAAGATGTCTGCTAAAAGATACATAACAAACAGTTTTTTTTTTTTTTTCTGCGTAATAACCAAATTCTTTTGCTTGTTATTTCTATTCATATTAAAGTAACTGATATTTGTCTAAAAACGTATATCTCTTTTCCAAAATAAAAAAGTTATTTTTACCTTGACTAAATGCTTCACCTAAGTGATTTTCGTCCAACAATGAAGCATTTACATCGCTTAGTATCGGTGACATTTTAGCTACCGGTAAAAATCGTTGCGCAACTGTTGAGTTTAAATTCAGTAAACTGTGTAACAGTGATGACATATCGTTTTGCAGTTCAGAAAATCTATTCCTAAATAAATTTGTTAGACTGTATATAATCTGTCCAAATTTTTTTAGTTTCAACTTTTTTTTTAACTTATATTTTGGAAAAAAATCTTTTTAAACAAAACTTTTCAATTATCGATAGTTAAACAAAGCAAAAAGAAATTACGATTCTCGTTTATGACGAAAAAGTGTAGGAGTTTGGTCACGAACAACAAGGGTTATTTTTTGTCGTTCAAGATTGTTTAATGGTCTGATCAATCTTCCAGATATAAAAACTCGATTATCCTTAAATAAAAAAAAAAACAGAGGAGGTTTTTTTTCTTGAACATATATTTAACTAAAAAACTTTTTTCTACTTTAAAAGATTAAAATTGCTTACACGAACTGTACAACTGTTTAGAACAACTTCAACCGAATCGTCAAGTCCTTCACAAAAAGCTGGTAGTACAGGAATTTGAATTAATGTTGGAGCACTGTATGTTTGTGATACACTAAAAAAATTTAACTTAAAATCTCACAAAATAACTTCAAAAGGTATGATCGACAAAAAAAAAAAGAGAAAAATAAGCTAATCG